TTGATCACGCCCGCGAACATGGCATCCGGTTTCTTGGGGTCGTCGTCGACCATCCGGGTAAACGGCATCGCAGGAGCCTTGTCCTTGTACTTGCCAGCGAAGTGGTCGGCAAATGCAACAAGCTTCGCACGCAGGTCTTCCACAAGGCTCTCGCGCGTCTCAGTGTAACGCACGTCTGGGAGTTGTGTAGTGACATCGCGGGTGAACTTCTCAATCGTAGCCGGCTCGGCGTCTTCGTCATCTTCGGCCACGAGGGGCTCTGCCTGGTTCAGCGGCACGTCGTGGATTGCCGACGAGCGGCGGCGCAACGGGGTATCTTTCTTGAGATCGTGACGATTGATCTCTTCGATCACGAACCGTACTTCCTTCCGGGCGCGATCGTCAGCGGCTGACTCGCGTGCCATCTTGGCGGTCTTCGGTATCCAACCCGGTTGGTTCGGCTAAACGCAGGTGGATGGATTTGGTTTGTCGGGTCGATTGAAACAACGCTTTCAATCTTTGATCTTCGGTTCTTCGGTGGGATATTAATTATACCTTCCCAGGTAAGAGAGATTGGTCTCAGTTTGTGACGAGAAGCAGATATTCCATGGGGTCAGGCCACCAGTCAATACAACTATAATATCGAAACTGAGACAAAGAGAAAAAGAGAGGTGGTGGGATCGCTAGCGATCGTTTCGTGGGGAAGTAGGGCGAGGCGCTATGCGCGCTAACCCCGATTGAGCCACAGTGCCATCACAGGCAACCACCTCTCGTGACAGTACCTAGTATAACTATCCTTCTAAGATTGGGTTTTAGAAGGTAGTTCAACCACTAAATCTTTAGTAGTTTGGGCTAGGCTATACCCTGTACCAACTATATTAATATAGCTAGTAAGATGGAGCCTTGGCCGAAGGTGACCCTCAATTTGAAGGAAGAAGCCTGATCTCTGGAAGTCTAGAGCTGTAATGGTAGACCCTATAGGGCCTTTCAACGTTTCCCGGTCCAAATAGCCTCCGGCCTTATAGTGCCGGATCCCACTAAATAGATTGATATCTATAGAGGGTATATAGAGGGCCTTATTAAGGACCAACTCTAAGTATTTCGGGGGACTCTTCTGGACTAGTACTTTGAACTTTGTAGTTCCAATACCTTTGGGTTTTATAGGGCTACTACCTATATAAATAGGTGGTATTTAACCAGTATTTTTAGTAAAACTGGTAAACCATTTCCTATTGTTTATGATATAGTCTGTGGAACCAGTATTATAGAGTAGAGCATTAGAGGTAACCTGGTAGCTACAGTGATCTTTACAGGCTGGCTTCGAAGATTTCCTACTAGTTGGTTTAGTGGTAGATTTTGAGGCCTGGTAGGTAGCATTGAAGAAAGAAGGTAGTTCTTTAGTATCTGAATCGGATTTAGAACTACTATCTTCGCTACTATCACTATAGTACCCTATAGTAATATTGTATACCCCTGTAATACAGGTAAAGGAATCGGGCTGGGTACTGTGGTTCGAACTGGAATTTGAACCCTAACCCTTCTTCTTCTTCTTCTTTTGGCCGTTTTAACCACTATTCCTACTACTGCCGTTGGTATTTTGTTGGCTTTGGGGACCCTTTTTCCCCTGTTTTTTAGGGCCTTTATAGGGGCCTTTAGCACCCTTATTTTCGCCGTAGGCCCTATTAGCTATACCTTTATTGGTAGTAGAGGCTGGAATTCTATGCTCTTCCAGAAGGTCGGCTATTAAGAAGCTCAAATTCAGGTTTTCAACACCTTGGCCAACTGTCCTCAGGGCCCGCATTTGACTACGTTGCCGTTCAGCCCACTGTGGGAAGGCTTTTTCCATAGCCTTTAAGTAGTGGTTCACTTGGTCTATAGGCTGTATTTCAACCCCGTTTAGGGTTAGCCGGCTAGCTAAGTTGGAAAATTCAGCGTTGAAATCCGCTAAAGAACCACTAAATTTACTGAAATCCAACTCGTGGAACTTCCTATATAGTTGGTCCCGTTGAATTCCAGTAGAGTACGAATACCGTAGTATTAGAAGCCTATAGGCCGCTACAGGGTCTGTTTGCCAGGCTATGGCGGCCTGTGGTCCAGGGCCTATACTATTCTGTAATAGTATTAGAAGTAGAGCTAACATTTGGTCGCTACCCCCTATAAATCCCTCTGGGTTAGAAGGAAAGGTAGGTATGCCGATAGCCCTAAATATGATATTTAGGCCCTGTTTCCAGATATCGAAGTTATCTGGCCCTGTAAGACGTAGATTTTCAGGGAAATCGTACACCTTTCTTAACAGTTCTTTTACCAACCCACTGTTTTAAATTGTCTTGCGGTATAGTAGGTTGCAGGGTAGGGCTTGGAGGTACTGTATTTGGCAGTGGTACCGTATAGGGTGGTACTACTAGTGGCTCCGGAGGGCCCTAGCTAGTATTACGGGCCTGTTAGGCCTGTAAAGCAGCCTTTACTCTATTTTCTACTTCAGAAGCAATAGCTTCTGTAAGCTACTGTTCGGTAGGCATCTAGGGCCGTTATTATTGTTGAACAGTAAACTATTGTAAACTATCCGTCAACGTAGCTATAGTAGCATACAGTTGTGCCATTTGGGTAGCCTGGGCCTCTAATCGGGTTTACAACTCCTCTATTTGGGCTTGGAGGCTCCTAGCGCCTCTAGGCTGTGCTATAGTGCCTCTGTATAGGCCTATAGGCTATAGCGGCTATACCAGTTGCCGTAGGCTAGTAAGTACTATCCTATTACTACCTTCGCTGTAGTTATAGGGCCTATACTACTATATAGGTCTAGGACTTCAACAGTATAAAATACCGGGTTATATTCTATACCGTAACCACAGTAAGTTTTTACACGCTACTAGCCTTAATATAGCGTAACTACTATTCGCTCTTATAGTAGTAGTCTAGTTACCTAGACCAACAACCTTATAGTGGGTTGTTAGGGCTTTAAGTTCTACTTAGTGCGGCTCTTAGAGGTCCTTGTTTTATATAGTTTAACTACAACTACTAGCTATAGCAGTAGTTAGTACTTTGAGTGTGACGAACCTGTCTCTGGACCCGTCCTGTTAGGGTTCAGTATCGGTCGAAGGTATTCTCTCAAGGGTGCTTAGGTTCGGTGCAGCCAAAGGGTGCACAACAAAGACTTGTCTCAACAGTAGGCTCTCGAGCTTGTAGCGAACTGTAGTTGTGATTGCTAACTGGAGAACTCCCAGAGCTCTCCAGAACGAGTGACTATATACCTATCTAATTCTTGGGTGCTCAGTGTGCTCAGTGTGCTCAGTGTGCTCTCCGGACACTGAGCCTACTGAGCGGACTGAGCTCCCTGAGTACCTTCCTCGTGTCCTGATTGGTGGCGCGGTCCAAGTGCTCAGTGTGCTCAGTACACTTGGCAAGTGCTTGGCGACTGAGCTCACTGATCACCCCCTTTCTTCTTTAATTGGTCCGTCTACCGTAACCAGCTCGGGGCGTCCCGCGCCCCGAGGTCGGCATACTCGTGACATTGAGGTACTACATTTTACCTACCTACTAGAATCGGTAGAACCAATATAGTTGATTAGGCTGTTAGGAAGGCCTATAAATATAGTACCTTTAGTAAGTGTAATAACCCCTAGCTTTCGAAGTTAAGCTAGATTTTTCTATCTCTTTAAGAAAACCAACGTTTCGGGCTTTATTGGAAAAGTTAAAATATAGGCCCCCAGAAGCTCTATATTAACTGTTAGCTATCTAGTATAGTTGACAACCTTGTACTAGGAGGTCTATCTATAGGTCGAAGTTCCTATAGTAGTTTCTAGCTTAGAGAAACGAAGAATTCAAGGATTCTAAGCTGTAAGTAGTAGAAACAGGCTAAGCTTATAGCGTTCAAAGGCTCTAAATTGTAGGGTAATTTATAAGCCTACAGCTAGAAATAGTACTTTTCCGGGCTCATAACCTATTGAGATTTAGGTGGGTAAGGCCCTGTAGTATATATACTGATAGGGCTTACAATATACTTTAGGGAAGTAATGTACAGTACTATTGCTTAGCTACCAGCAGTAATTATAGGGCCTAGGCCCTGTAACAGTGGTTAATTTAGTGGGTAGACTACTATTGTTTTGGGAATACCTCTATATTTGCTATCTTAACTACTAGAGTTGGATTTACTACTTCCTTCTTATATACCTACCGACCGGGGCGTAGTGCCGAATTCGGCCCAGCGGTCTTAGTGGTAAAAAACTGAATCCCGCAAAACTCATTTGTATGGGTTTGACTAAAAATGGGCTCACCTACTCGCAGCCGCACCCAGAAGTACCCGGGCCCACTTGCACTACTACCTTAAAAAACCGGTACAGGGTAGGCCGGTTGGGGCCAAGCGGTACAGGGTAGGCCGCTTAGGAGCCAACTACGGTATAGGGTAGGTCGCTTGGGATGCTAAGCGGTGCAGGGTAGGCTAGTTGGGAACAACCGGGTGCAGGGTAGCTCGCTTGGGAAACCCAGGTACAGGGTAGGTGTAGGGTAGCTCGATTCGGGAGAAACCAACACTTAGTGAAAAGAAGAACCAACCTTCTTCAAACTAAGATAGCTAGCCACCCAGTAATCGTACCGCTACAACCAAGATACCAGTATATAGCTACAGGCCATACGAATTCGATTACAGTACTGTAGAGCCCCCCAGATGGCCACAGCACTAGTAATCTGAACTCTAGGGTTCAACATATCTATAGCCTTATCTACCTACCAATTCGGTAACTACATCGCGTTTTTCCCTACCCGGAGCCTTAACGCAAACCAGCGCGCAAGGGCCAGCCGTAAGCCCCTTTTTCTTTACCGCTAAAAAGTTGGGTTAGCAAAAACAGGGCTTCCAGCCAGTTTTGCGTACTATGGCTTGGCGACTAAGCCTATTGCAGGGAACCAAGCGAATTCTTTAGTGTAGTATATTGCTGCTTGGCGATAGAAGGGTAATAAGGTATTTTCCCCTTTGTACCTGCAAAATTGGGTGCCCAGAAGGGGAAAGCGCCTCTTATTTACGTGGCTACGCCTTTTTTCGCTACTTGACAGGGGTTGAAAATTGGGATCTAATTCATTACTCTACATTACCCCCCGTTCCGATCAGGGCCTAGGAGAGATTTTGAGAACTGCGCAACAGAGCTACAACAACATAATAATCCGTGACCTCGGGTGCTAGGATTTATCACACCCACCCACCCCCGCAGTCGACCATCCCACGAACCAACTATCGCACCTATTCTTCAGCCAAGAAGGGCTTGGAAGCTCCGGCTGTTCTTTTGAACTTTGCATCTTTCCTCAGCTCTCTGATTTTTACCCTTGGATCGCGTCAGTTCTAGAAGACGAAGTGGCATTTTGAGGGTCAAGGGGCAGCCAGTCTGGGGAGCGATCGCGATGGCATCCACAATACTACCGCCTGAGATGGCCATTCCAGGCGCAGCAGATAGCGGGCGTCCTCTAAGCATTGAGGAGCTCTGCTTCACATCAGCCATGAGCTGTTTCGAGGGCTGGCTCAAACTAGATCCGGCCATCGGCCCCCGCACTATGGCATACGTCACTAAGTTCATCTCGAAGACGCTGGAGAAGACACACAACTTAAAAGATGTCAGGTACGAGGAGCCCTCTCCTCTCTCCTTTTTATGATTTGTATCCTGATGTTTCCGCAGGGAAACGCTATCCAAGAGCGTCGAGGTCTGGATCTGGCTCACCCGGGACTTCGCCGCCGCGATTCCGAGTTTAACCACGCGGTCCATCGGTCCCCTTGCTAGCCTCAATGACCCGACAAGGGTGTCACTCCCCAGGAGAGCACGGCGTTGATAACTAAGAATTATCCATCGCTAAAGGAGGACCTGCAGCTGCTCATCAAGCTCATGCATATCGCAAGGAATCTGTTGGTCGTGCCCGAGCCCGAGATCCCCCAGGACCTCTGTGCTGCCGCCCAGTTTGACCAGATGCTCTACCAAACTATTATCCTCTGTATCAACGTCACAAGTAAGGCTTATGATGGCGACGTTCTCGAGGAGGCTGCAAGGCTAAAATTGAGTGAGATCACCGAACTATGCAAGTTTCCTCTCCCCGTTTGAGACTTTCCGTTTCTAACTCGCTGCTAGATAAGAAGCTGCTTGTTACATGTTTGCAGCAAGCTCATAACTGGATCGCCAAGAACGACCGCAACAAAATGGCCTTTTGGTCCACCGTTCTATTCGACGACGATGCCCTCTCTGACGAATCCGACGGCAACGTCTACGGAGAGTTCCGCCCCGATATGGCCAAGACTGAAGTCCAAAACTGGTTCGAGCGGAACTCTCGCTTCTGCGACAAAGCCCGTCAGCTACTTACTGCTTACGAAGAGAACCTGGCAGCCAAGGGGCTGCCACCTGGCCACCTACCCTGCATTTCTCCACTCGCTTGGAATTGGCTCCCAGAAGGTACTGTACGGGTGCGCGCGGACGACTTCGACAACGTCACCAAGATCACCCCTTTGTGGAAGGAAGACGAGCCGGACAAGTTCGAGCAAGACAAGGCCTACGGTCGGGTATCAAGAGAAGTCGATACGTGGTGGCTCAAGATCCGAGACCCTAACTACGATGGCTGGGTTGTTCCTATGCCTACCGTTGAGTTTGCCCAGCAGAGGACCGAGAACTGCAAAGCCAACCTTGTCAACCGATATGCTCACTCGTATCGTACCGCCGAGCACGAGGGGTCTGTCCACTCCGCCGAAGGTGCTCCGTTGCCAGAAGGCGCTGCGGACCAGGAAGGAAGAGAGGGTGGACATTATGTCCACGACTACAACGACGACATGATTGAGGAGGAAGATATCGATGACGACGATTCATATGGCGAGGGCCCGATGAATGGGTTGCTCACTGAAGTTCCTAACATTCTTGATCCTAAGCAGATCGAGGCGCTCCACATGATCGTCAAGTCGTGCATTCTCGATAACGCCGGCTTAGTGCTGAGCAAAGCAGGCGAAAACCTCCAAAAGACCAGATGCAGGATGTTTATGGCCATGGAATGCGGCAGGAGCCTACTCCGAGAAATCTTGGTCTTTATTGCTGTCTGGGAAAAGAGCGAACAGTCACTCATCTTCCAGTTGACAACTCAGATCGTCGAGGCGATTCATCACAGCGCATTGGTTCCTTACGCCTGGCAATCGTTACGCATTCCCAAAGACATCATCTCTCCCGCCCAAACCGTTCTGCTGAGGCTCGTCAATACCATGTTTCGCGCCAGGAATAACGACCCGCCGCCCGTCGAATCGAAGGAGCATATCCGGGACGCCAAGCTGCTGCACTTTCTTTTCATCCAGTTCCGCAGTCGGATAGTGCCGGAGTGTGCGGCACTCATGCACCTCCAGGCCCAGATACGAAATGACCTCTGCGACCCAGCCGACTTCCCCGTCGATAGTTGGGACATGGAGCGCGCCAAGGACGGCATCCAACAGTTCCTCGAGCTCCTCACCACCGTCAACGAACTCCCGGAGACACGCCGTTACCTCATCGAATGGGAAGCCGCTTACGAGCTCCTAACTCTCCTGAAAGGCCTCGAAGCCGGGGTCCCCAAAAAGCCCATGGTGGAAATGCCCAACCGTTCCAACAACGCTCGTCAGCACCAGCAACCCCCACCACACCCGGACGACCCGGACGCGGGCTACGACTCGGAAAGACCACCCCCTGGCCCCACCGCCCGCCCCTCGAAGAACCAGCGCACAAGTACCCGTGGGCCGGAATCAAGGGCCAGATCCTGCACATCCTCGCGGGCCTCCTACAACCCCCTCACGGGCGGAGCAGCCCGGGCAACCCCGAAGTCCAATCCCAAATCCTCCGCCACAACGGCGTCATCAGCCTGCTCAACTGCTGCGTCTACGACGACCACAACCGATACGCCCGCGAGCGCGTGCAGATCTGCCTAAAATGGCTCATGGACGGCTCCGACGAGGCAAACAAATACCTGCGGGAGCTCATCGCCATGTCACCACCACCCAACCTGCGGGCACCACCACAACAGCAACAACAAGCAACCCAAGCCCAGGGCAGCGGCAGCGGCAGCACCACAGCGGCACAACCGCAAACAGCAAGCCTCCGCATCGACGGCATCCCAGGCGAGGTCAAAGTCCGTCTGCGCGCCCCGGGCGAAACCGTCCCGCCCCAACCGCGCCCTCTCATCCCCACCTCCTCATCCGGCCCGGGCTCCGGCGCCGGACGCGCCCTCCCGCCACCATTTGGCCAACGCCACCGCCACGGCTGCCGTCGACGACCATGGCTACGGCTACGGCCAGACGCACAGGTACAGCAGCAGCAGCAGCAGCAGCAATGTCTTGCCGCCGATCCAGGGTGGTGGTGGTGGTGGTGAGGCTGGCGAGGGGGGAGCGAGGGCGGGGTCGTCGATGCCGCCGCCGCACAGGAGCCGGCCGGAAGAGCTGCTGAGGGATATCATCACGCTTGCGGACGAGGCGGCACGGTTGGCGATGGGTAGGCCGTTGGAGGGGGATGAGACGGAGGAGGAAGGGGAGGAGGGGGAGGAGGAAGGGGGGAGGATGGGGATGATGAGGAGGGGGATGAGGAGGGGGAGGGGGAGGGGGGGGGATGATTTCATGTAAGGGGGTGATGTATACGGCATGTGGGAGGTTGTGGAGGGAGATTTCTAGAAGGGGGTTGTATGGATGGTGGTTTATATAAAGGATATCTGTAGGGTGGGCAGATGGTTCAGGGTACAGGGATCGAAAAGGTAGGTTGGTTGGGTCCTGGAGTACGCGTTTAGGGGCGGGCTTCCAAAAGCAAATGCCTGTGATTGATTTCTTTGTTATATTACTGCACAGCGACGGAGTATGTCGGTTTAGGTACAGAAAATGGAAAAACAAACGGACGGTTTACTCAAGGTTTTCAGTTGAATGGTCACCATCACACGTCATTCGAGTTCTCCATCCTCCGGCGATATGGCTGTCATGTCTCAGTTCTTACCTTCGAAATGTACCGAATGATGGAGTCCCTGTACAAGTACTCAAGACCTACACTATGTGCCAACCATAACATCCTGTGATGTAAATCTTCCGGGCCCTTGTTTTGTGCTCTCGAACTTCGTTAATGCATACACCCATATCCTCGTCCATGTAAAGGGGCTGGCTCGGTCCATGATAAACACAAGATAGAACCACTCAATATACCCAAACACCATGTGGTGATTATTACGAGGCAAACAAATGCGTCGAAAAGTATGGACATGGTTGGAAACGACAGGCTCGGGAAGGGAAAATTGACTGAGTAGAATCAAACTTGATAATATATAATGGCTATGCCTGCTCCATGCTGTATCCCTTTTTGGCTTTTCCTGTATCCGCCCCCTGCTTCCTCAATTATGCCACTCGTACATTCCGGTAAACAAAACTAGATGTGGTATCTCTTCCTCCCATATCAAGTCGGCCACGCGAGTCCTACTAGAGGCGGGCCGCGGGGCGCTGCCTCCCTCACAGCAGCCAGGATTAACTCCTTGGCCTTCTCCACGCCCTCCTTGGTGCCGACGACCTCGATCGCATCGCCCTGCGTCTGGTCGCGAGGGACCGTGATCTTGCACCGCTCTGCTTGCGAATCGAGTTGACCTTGCTGCCGCCCTGGCCAATGACAAAACGGTATGTCTTGGGGTCGGGCAGAACCAAGTAGCCGATGGCGTTTTGGTTGCTCGCCTGATCGAGCGCCGACTGGATAGCCTTCTTAGCCTTCTCGATGTTTTCAGGCGAGCCGCGGATGACCCAAGGGATGTCACCCTCCTCGGTGGATGACTGATCCACCACGTTCCAAGAGTGGGCGTCGGCAGTGGTATCGTCGTCGTCGGTGATCAAGGGAAGCGAGTCGCCATTCGCACGAGCATTTTCGGGGCCGTGGGTTTGGCGGGGACGGTTTCGCCAGCGTGGTCGACCGTTACGCCGAAGTCGCTCCTGAACTTGCGGAAAATCTGGCCGTTGTTGGAGACGACGTGGTGGAGGGCCCGGGGAACTTGGACGGTTTCGCCCGGCTGTTCCTTGACCATCTCCTCAAGATGAGCCTTCGCCTTCTCGACATCAGCCGGCTGGCCGGTAATCTTCACGCTCGTAGTACCACTGCCTTGACGGGGAACGTCGATCGAGACTTTGAACTGGGTCTCAATATTCCGCTTGGTCTCGCCGCCGCGCCCGACGATGGACCTGTGCTTCTCGACGGCCACGTCCAGCTCCTCGGAGACCTGGCTCTCGCGCTCCGCCACGATGGCTTCGATCCGGGCCACGATCTTGTCCACAACTTCACTGCGGCCCTCAACTTTGATAGCATCACCGTCAGCGTCCTGCTTCGGGAACTGGATGGTGCGCGCTAGCTCTCGCTGGTCACTGGAGCCGCCAGCCTTGACAACGATGTCACGGAGAGTAGAGCCTAGGGACCTGTTAACCATCGTGATCTATGAATATGGGGGAAGGTTAGACTTACCACCAGTGCCGATGAGAGTC